TTGCAGGTTATTTAAAGCCAGAAAACAAACAGCTGACCACATATGGAGTGAAAAGGGAGATCACCAGTCCCTGTGGGATGAGGTTAAAATAATAGAAAACATAACTAAAAAATACAAAAACTGAAGGAATCCATGCATATGCTAGTCTACAAAATCTCTTAAGCGGGCCAAGCATAGAAATGAGTACAATATGGAAACCAGTAATACAGAGAACTAGAGAGAAACAATAATAACAAATGAGATGAAAAAAATGTAATATGAGCTCTGGTAAAAAAGTTTACTTAAACATTCGGTTTATAAGTCCCCAAAAATTCACTCACTAGGCCCAGGGAATAAAAGCTTTGGTTGATTGATCCAAAAAAACAGTAACTTGACCCTAAGTTCAATTCCTGGCATCAGTGGAGAGAACAAAGGCTTGGAAAGTTATCAAGGTGAATGAACTAAAACTGAGATATCCAAAGACATGGTATGTGGAATTAGAACAATCTACTCCTGTGGACTAGATCAAGGGTTTGGTTTGAAATTCCAAAGTATATCACCTGAAGAAGGCTGGAGCATACAATAGCTGAAACGTTGTGAATGTGACAGTAAAGATGAGGACAACATTTTAAACAAGGTGAATAGTTGCAAAATCTCATCTCAGAAATATAGACAAAATATTTCTTCCCTGATATTCAGCGAAACATACACATGTGTTTGTATGTGTGGGTTGGTGGGGGTTGGTGCATCTGGTGGTGTCAATGTGGGTCTCTGTCTGGGGGGGGGTTTGGTGGTAGCACTGTATCTGTTTTTTACCAATTGAATGCAGGTGAGGCAATTCTGGCTTGTTTTCCCCTAGACACCGAATTGAGTTAGATTGTTTTTATTAATAAGAGATTAACAGTTGCCTATGCAGTACAGTTCTCCTCTCCATACCTTTTATGTTGTCTGTGGAATGGTCAGGGGTTTGGGTGATGCTACTTATATAATAAAGTGTACATGTTTTAAGAACTTATTTAGACAGATGAATATACTGATACATAAGTATCTGTCTATATTTCTGAGATGAGGTATTATATATATTATTTAAATTATTCGGACTATTGTCTTCATCATTGTTGTCATATTTATCACAACGTTTCGGCCGTTGTATGCTCTGGCCTTCTTCAGGTGGTTGGAATGTCAAACTGAACCCTTTACTTCAATCACTGGGGTAGACTGTTCTGGTTCCATGTGTCATATTTAATGGATGTCAGTTATCAGTTATCTCCTGTTAATTCCCCTCTCCAAGTTCTCCACTGCTTTAACCAGGTATTGAACTCACAGCTCTTTGGGTCCAGTCACTAGATCTAACCAACACCTTTATCCACTGTGCCATGTGTACTTAAATAATGATACATAAATATCTCACATTCTACAGTGGGGGCTTTACATTTGAATGGCCTTGTTTCAGACTAAATTAGGGTTAAATTTATAATATTTTTTATCATAAATCAGTGATTAGCAAGTAGTGAATTCAATCTTCACTAGCTTGTACTACATGTTTGTGTTATGAGATTTTGTTGACAGAAGCTGATTCGACACTTCACCATAGTAAGATGTGTGACAAATGTCTTTACCCAATAATGACCAGAAGTCAAATGATGAAAGTGATTCTGACATTTGTATAGAATCGATACAATATTTCGGTCACATACTAAAATCTAGGCTAAAGCTCAATTACTCATTTTTAGTTTGGCTTGTTTTATGGCATGTCAACATTTTCAGGTTAATTAATGCCGAATTCTCCTGTTTTTATAAAAGATAGATAGACATAGATTTGCTTTGAACAAAAGTCAAAAAACATAAATACAGGTAAAATAAATAAGTAGACTTTTTTTTGTTGAGGGAGTTATCCTTTTTCCCATGGATGTAGTCAATGTATTCTTAACCCCAACTGATAGTGCAATTTCATTTTCAGAGAAATACTGAAACAGTTTTAAAAACTGTATTTTTTAAGCCTATCTTTCCAACATGAATAATACACATACTCATTGCTTCATCAGCCGTCATGACAAAAGTCACTGAGAATTTTCCCTTCATACCAACTCCATTATTCATCTTAACACATTGAACTAATGCACACACAAATATTACGGTGCATCGTTATGCCTGCTTGGTCTCATGCTGTCCACTGATATAAAGTGGAATAAATACATTGAATCAATAGCTTCATCTACCGCAAGGAAAGTTGGTTCTCTGTGTCATGCCAGAAGGTTTTTCTCATCTGAAACCATCCTTCAAATCTATAAATCAACCATCCGTCCTTGCATGGAATATTGCTGTCATATATGGTCCGGTGCTCTTGCTGTATGTCTCGAGGTCCTTGACAAAATCCAGAGATGACTATGCAAGATGATAGGTCATGATCTGGCATCTAGCCTACAATTGCTATCCCACAGACGTGCTGTGGCCTCCCTCTGTCTCTTCTAGAAATATTTTCATGGCAACTGTTCCAACAAGGTACTTTTGCTGGTTCCAGGACTACATAAATTTAAATGAAGTACCAATCTGGCATCTCGGTCCCACCCTTTCACTGTCAAAATAGATAAATGTAACTATCTCTTCTTCTGAAACTGCTTCTTCTCCTGAACTTCCTATCTGTGGAACTCCCTTCCTCTTACTTGCTTCCCCAATGACTATAATATTCAAATATTCAAGTGTAATGTCAATTGATATCTGACACCCTGAGCTTGTTCCTCATCCTTCTCTGTATCCTTTCCTTAAACAAGCCTCTTTACTCTTGTTATCAATCCTTTGTAAACCCTTGCGGCACTCCTGCCTTGCTTGGAGTGAATTGCCATATATATATATATATATATATATAGATAGATAAACTCCACAATGTGGCTGTCAATTGAAAGCTCAAATGAGAAACAGTTACCTAGAAATTAAATACATAACTCCAAAAAAGAATGATTGACTAAGTCAGCTCAAGCAATAAGTGCTCAAATTCATTTTTAAATATTGAACATCAAAATACAACATAATTGAAAGCAACAAAAGATCAGAAGCTGTGGTGAACCATGATCAAAGTATAATTATTTTTAACCACATATCTGAACACACCATCCATTTATTTAAATTTGACAAGTAGGTTATTGAGGAACAAATATCACAAATGAATTTGGTTATTGAAGAAAAAATATCACAAAGTCGGATCATGAAAAGAGCTATCATAACTGAGAGCAGCAAAAGACAGGAAGCTGTGGAGAACCATGACCAAAATATTAATGTTTTTAACCAGATCAAACTTGTGTAATATGATTTGAGGAACAAATATCAGAAAGGAGGGTTGTAAAAGAGCTATTAAAACTGTGTGACAAAAGACAGGAAGCTGTGGAGAACCAAGATCATTCAGGTCATGAAAGAACATGGCACAGAGAGAGAGAAAGAATGAGATAGAGAGAGAAATGTTATGTTATTTTAATAAGGACACAAAATTAACTCTATCATAAGTAAAATTATTGTTTATTTAATTCTGTACTTTATCAATTAATATCGGTGAATGGGTGTGTGGCTTTGGGATCTTTCTCCTTACATAGATTTTTCTTGCAACGATGTGAGACATTTCCCGTTTGGGCAAGTGCTTATATAACTTCCAGTAATCGGATGACCCATGATTGCATATCCTAAAATGCAGCTTGGCCAACAACCTGCAAGGGGGGAACCACTGATATCCTGTGAGTTAGGAAATCTGTAAATGGTGACTAGAAGATTACCTTTTATGGTAATCTGCTGGTGAATCTGCATTCTATGATAGTCTGGTGTGATACAGAATGCAACATCTATTTTGATATCTGTCTATATTTCTGAGATGAGGTATTATGTACACTATTTACATTATTCGGACTATTGTTCTCATCTTTGTCGCTATATTTATTACAGCGTTTCGGCCATTGTATGCTCTTCAGGTGGTTGGAATGTCAAACTGAATCCTCTATTTCGTTCTGGGATCAGGTTGAAATCATAGACAAAGAACACCATTGGAAAATTCGTAAACTTAAGGAATCAGCATATATGCTAGGCTACAAAAATCTTCTGAGTCGACCAAGCATAGAAATGAATACAATATGGGAACCAGTAATAAGGAGTGCCAGAGAAAAGTGATAATAACAAAAATTGCAATATGAGCTCTGGTAAGAACATTCAATGATAACAGCAAAAATTGCAATATGAGCACTGGTAAAAAATGATGCTGGAGACATTAGGTTTATAATACCCAGAAATTCATACCCAGATGTCCTCAAGGACACATGGCACAGTGGATAAAGTTATTAGTTAGATCCAGTGACAGGACCCAAAGAGTGTGAGTTCAATACTCGGTTAAGGCAGAGGAGAACTTGGAGAGGGGAATTAACAGGAGATAACTGATAACTGACGTGGAATTAGAACAGTCTACCCCAGTGAGCAAAATAAAGGGTTCAGTTCGACATTCCAACCACCTGAAGAAGGCCGGATCACACAACTGTTGAAACGCTGTTGTAAATATGGCGACAAAGATGAGGCCAATAGTCCAAATAATGTAAATAGTATCTATTTTGATATCATCTTCACTCACATGCTACAAAATGAAACTTTTTTAATGAGAATTTAAAGAGTATACCCCCACCCACCACCACCAACAACAATATGCGAGTCAGACAGACCTAAATGCTAATCTTAAATATTAAATCCAATTTGTTTTGTTTTTTATTGATTTCACTAAAACACTCAGTTGATATCATGTGGTATTAAAATTTTAACATTGCAACAAAGTGTTTCTTGTCACCGAAGTTAAGAAATGTAGAGTCTAGTCAGTACCTCAATGGGTGACTGCTTGAGAATATCAGGTGTTGTAAGCTTAAATGTGTGGGTGGTGTAACAGATAATGGCTCATAAATGGGGGATCGGTTTATTACTGACAAACAATTGAAAACTGATCCCCCATTTGTTTGACCATTAGAATCTTATATTAATAAGTGTCTAACTATGTCATGGCTTACGGGCACATCATGTCGAAACACCAGTTTTCATATGATCATCGAAGTTAAGCAACATCAAGCTTGGTCAGTACCTAGATGAGTGACCACATGGGAATACCAGCTGCTGTAAGCTTTGATGTAGGTGGTAAAATGGATAATAGTTTGGAATCGTTAAATGGAGAGCCAAGTTCCAATTCCACTTGGATTCGTTACATTCACTCATGTGCAAATACTCTTCGGAAAGGTATGAATCCACCTCTTCTTCCCCCCTCAGCTATGGGTTAATTAGTAAGACTATCAGTAAATCATTATTATCTGCCCTCCTTACAAATTCTTACAATCTAAAAATATTTTCTGGCTTTAAATAACCTACAAAGGGTTGATAAGACATAAAAAAGGAATGAATGAATCGATCAATGAAATAATGATTACTTACTTACACAAGCATGTCTTTTAATTTATTTACATCCTCGGAATATAAATACAAAGAAACTACCGTGGCCACAAAATGAGGGATCAGTCTATATACTGATTGTGATTTAGAATTGATCCCCCACTTTTATAATTTCTTGTTTATCATATTCTGATTAGGTTTGACTCCATTCCCAATCACCTCCAGATATGGATTAATTACTAAGACTTGTTAGAGTAAATCATTATTATCTCAAAAAAAAAAAAAAAAAAAAAAATCTTAAAATCTAAAAATATTTTCTGGCTTTAAATAACCTGCAAAGGGTTGATAAACTGTCATAAACAAATCACTCAATCAATGAAGAACATCATGCCAATGTCAATGTCAATGAATGAACCAAATAGAAACCACAAATTGTCTTCTGTCATTCCTGTTTTTAAGAAATTGAGAGAACTGTCTGATTCTTCAAACTATAAACCTTTTGGTCTTTTATCTCTTTTTGGAAAAGTACTAGAAGCTCTAATCAATTCGGAATTGGTTTTTTGCAGTTTTTTTTTTATCAGACAAACAATATGGCTTTCGCTTTTCAATTTAATTTCTCATGTGTTACAAAGTGTCTGAGTGAAAATTTCTGTTAGAATTTGTTTTGTTTTTTCAGTCATGGCTCTGATAACGTTCAACTGAATATATTCACTGTAACAAAAGTGCTAGACTGTAATTTTGTATTTCCCCAGAGATTTCCAAACTGTGTAGGAATAGTAGAAAATGTATTTCAGAAATTGTATAAAGTATTAAGAGATGGGAAAAATACCATTAGAAACACACACAGAGTAGTGCCCGAAGAGTGATGTAATCTTTATCGTCATATGTGGGGTAGTGAAAGTCATATAAATGGGAGGGAAAAAGACCGAGATGAGATTCTATGAATGAATGTTGACAATGACAAGGACCTGTGACAAACAAAGAAGTTTTGAGAATAGGAAATACCGATATTCACAGTCAGAAGGGAACAGTTGGCATTTCAGGGAGAAAAGATGAGGAAAGAAAGCTTGGAGAATTTAAACACTCACAGGATGCATACAAGGCAAGAGAACCAGTGTAAAGCAACCAGTGACCAGTATGGAGTCTTTATAAAATAACAACCTAAGACATTAAAACAAATGTCAAAACCTTGAAATGATGCAAGAATATTATTATGTTTTTAATTAAATTATATCTAATCGGCAAAAAATGGTGCTAAACTTGAATAACGAGAAGAGAAAATTTGATCTTCAGTGGTGAGCACAGTTTCTATTATAAGATCTAAATCTCCATGACAGTTATCAGATATTTTAAAATTAAACACACTTTATGTTCTGTCTATATTTCTGAGATGAGGTATTATGTACACTATTTACATTATTCGGACTATTGTCCTCATCTTTGTCACCATATTTATTACAATGTTTCGGCCTTTCAGTATCTGTCTATATTTCTGAGATGAGGTATTATGTACACTATTTATTTTATTTGGACTATTGTCCTCATCTTTGTCGCCATATTTATTACAACGTTTTCGCCTTTCAGTATCTGTCTATATTTTGAGATGAGGTATTATGTACACTATTTACATTATTTATTTTATCTTTATTTATATTTAATACAATTTCAGCCTTTCAGTATCTATCTATATTTAGACATTATTTTATTGTCCTCATCTTTGTCGCCATATTTATTACAATGTTTTGGCTGTTGTACACTCTTGCCTTCTTCAGGTGGTTGGAATGTCAAACTGAACCCTTTATTTCGTTTACTGGGGCAGACTGTTCTAGTTCCACGTGCAATGGTTTTAGAACAGTCTATCCCAGTGAGCAAAATAAAGGGTTCAGTTCGATATTCCAACCACCTGAAGAAGGCCGGAGTGTACAATGGCCGAAATGTTGTAATAAATTTGGTGACAAAGATGAGGACAATAGTCCAAATAATATAAATATTGTACACTTTATGTTGCTCATATAAATTTATGTTTGTCCCTCAAAGTTTGACATATTGTATGTATATAAAAATGTTTATATGTACTGTCATTATATATTTTGGGGTCATACATAAGATGGAGTAATATCAAAGTTCTTCAAGCAATTGACAGGCACCTTAATGAACTTTTGTATGAATTTTCTTATTTATGGCAAAATATTAGCAAAGAGAGAAAAAATGTTAAGAGTCATACGAAATAGGAAGATGTGAAGAGTCATATTCAGCTATGTCATGAAGGGATGTGGCATATAGAAAAAGAATATCTTTGATATTTCTGGGTTATATTCCTGATCTAATGCAGCTTACAAATTCTCATTTTTGATGGGTACTGTGCTATCGTTCAAATATATTTTTCTATATTCTTTCTCTTTTCACAGACGACACTTTTAACTTTTTTTTAATAGTATCTGTCTTTTTTCTTTTCTGATTCTTTTATTTCTGCTTTCCTTCTAGTTTTCGCAAACTTCAATAAACCTAAGTGTAAAATAAACTAAGTGTAGAAGAAAATAAAACAGAATTGAATAAAAGATATAACTATAAAAATTAAAAAGTGAAAATAAAAATATATTAAAAACAATGATTTTTTTAAAAATCGATCAAGGTTTCTTTCTGATGTCTTTCAGATTCAATGTTTTTCGACCACTGTTTTACCGTTTTTTTGGGGTTTTTTTTTTTTAAAATGTCATATTTTTTTTTAGAAAAATGAACAGACGGGATTTTTTAAAAAAATAGTCTATCTAGAGAGAAGCAGTGTCATGTTGACAGAAAAGAATTTTCCTTAGAAATATAGATAAAATGTCAAAGAAAGTAATTGATCCTTCAAAAAAAAGCGTGCAAATGTATATGCTATAATCAAATCAACAATTAGATAAAAAACCTATCTTTTTGGATGTTAACGACCAGAAATAATTGGACTTATTCTCGCTCTTCTTGTCATACTTTTATTAATTTCGTTGAAAAATTAGGCCAAAATTGTATAAATCGTGTAAATCGTTCGGCAGTGAAATCTCTCAATAAATAAAAAAAAAAAAAAAATAAATAAATAAATAAAAAATTAAATGAAGTTTGGCTTTATAAATAAATAAATAGAAGATTTTTTTTTTGTGTGTTGGAGTGAAGATTTTTATTTCTCTGACTCATTAATTAAGAAAATCCCAAACTACATTTACACATTTTAACTATTATTCATTATTGTGAATATATTTTATTTCCATCATTTAGAAAACAATTATTTTTCATCACAAGGTTGCTGAAATTTTTAAATTAATATATAAATAACAATAATCGTTTTTTTTTTTATATATGAAAACTATACTTAAACATTTTTTATTACAATTTGTTATGGGTCGGTCACTGAGAGATAAACACGTGCCTAATGCCCTCAACCAACATGACAGACTCGGAGTATGAGTCTATGTAAAAAACATTGTGAGAAACAACAAAGACCAATATATATGTGTACAAACAGATGATAATGTATTAACAATAAAGGGTTACATAAACAATAGAATATTATTGTGTGTTACTGAACAATGAACATGAATGAAGAAAACATTTAAATGATTTAAGCTAGTGAACTGTTAGTGTATGTGTTACTGTAGTTTATGTGAGAGAAAGTCCTAGAAAAAAAAATGAAGTGAAAGCTGCGTACGTACATGTGTGTGTGTTGTTCATGTGTGTAAATACTAAATACTGTTTGCATGTGGCAAAAAAAAATTCTAGTCCTGTAGTAAAAAAAAAAAAAAGGAAGACAATCACCTGCATCTCAACACACATTTTCTTTTACTCCATTTTGCTATACAATTATTTCTTCGAGAGATTTGCACTGGCTGTAAAATGGAATTTGAAAAATTGTTGCAATTAAAGCTGTTTGATATTCTGGTTATGATTTTTTTCATATGCGGAATATCATAATATTATAATTTATAAGTTTAATATTATTTTATAAATATATATGGTTAAAAATGTCGGTATGATTTACTTACCTTTAATCCCAAGCTGTGATCTAAATGCTGATATGGTTTTCACAATCAGTACTAAAAATATCTGCAAAGCAAAAAAAGAAAAAGTTTCAAAGATACTCATTGTGTACTCAATTGTTGTGGCCTTAAAGGAGGTTACAAAAAGACAAAGGTGGTACTTGAGTGAAAGAACAGCAACACGTGCGTAGATGAAAGAAAGAGAGGTTTATTGTAAAAGAGAATACACTACTGAAAGAACTGAACCCTTTATTTTGTTCACTGGGGTAGACTGTTCTAGTTCCACGTGCCATGTTTAATGGATGTCGGTTATCAGTTATCTCCTGTTAATTCCCCTCTCCAAGTTTTCCACTGCCTTAAGGACACATGGCACAGTGGAAATCGGGTGGCAGGCTAGTAATTCCTGAAGCAAGGATATTTACCTTACCTCCCTGCAAGGCAGGATGTGGCACAAGGCCGTTTCAATGCGCGGTAAAACTGAGCCTGTATGCTCAGGCAAAAATTCCCCATAGACCCTGTATACATGGGGACTATGCCCTTTGGCATAGCCTTGTTTGGGTTCCTCTCTACCCGAAGGCAGAGAGTTCATCCAGCACAGCTGGAAACAAGTCTCCAACTAATTCCTGAAACAAGGATATTTACCTTACCTCCCTGCAAGGCAGGATGTGGCACAAGACCGTTTTTAATTTAGGCTTGGGCAAAAATTGCCTGTAGACCCCGTATACAC